TACCACCAAGAATGGGGGCCAAGAAAGGTCTCTGCCCAGACTCCGCCCAGACTCCGCCTATTATCAATATGTATTAGATGTTGCAATCATATGAATATGTATGTTAAGATGTTGTAATCATAGAAGTTAGACTGTATAAATTACCCTGTTTTGCACCGATACCTTCGAGCAAGAGCTTTGTGGTGCGAACCACACTTGCTCCTGACGTCGACAAATAAATACCTTTGCTGCTCAAAAGACCCAAAGGCTTCTGAGCAGTTATTTTACCAGATTTCTCGGATTCATCAGAAGTTTCTGAATGTCTTTAGTCCCCATCTGCTGGTCTACACCTTTATTTAATTTTCAAATTCCCTGCTGGCTGCACCGTCCACACAGGTCTCAGGGCCTTCTTGACTCTGGTGTAATGTATCCAAGGAGGTTGCTCTTTAACATTGATTGCAGTGTAAGTAGTCAGCATCACTTGGTATGGACCTCTCCACCTTGGTTCCAGGGGTTCACTTGTAAAAGATCTTACATACACATAATCTCCAGGTACAATATTATGAATTGGCCCATCAAGGCTGTGAGCTCATGTCCCAAGGACTAGCTTTTCAACATTTCTAAGATGCTTCTGCAAATGTACAATATAATTTGTTAATGTTTCAGTTCTTACTTTACCTGACACTCCTTCCTGTAGCATATAGGGTCTTCTGAAAACTGTTTTAAAAGGACTCAACCCCTCTTTGCTTCTGGGTTTCGTTCTTACTCATAAAAGTGCCAAGGGCAGTGACTTAGGCCATGGTAATCCCGCTTCTTGTCCCAATTTTATGATCTGGGTTTTGATAAGGTGATTCATCTTTTCTACTTGTCCACTAGCTTGTGGTCTATAGGGATCTATAGACCAATCTATTCCCAGAAGTCTACTTACTCCTTGGACCATCTCGACCATAAAATGTGATCCCCGATCCGAGGACATGGTTGCTGGGACACCAAATCTGGGGATTATTTCTTGTAACAGTGCCTTTACCACTTCCCTGGCTTGATTAGTTCGGCAAGGGTATGCCTCGGGCCAACCTGAAAAAGTGTCAGTGAGAACGAGCAAATATCTATACCCCCCCTTTTCTGGGCAGTTCCAAAAAATCGATTTGCCATTGTTGTCCCAGATAATTACCTTTCCCTATTTGCCCAAGTTGAATTCTGCTATGGGTTCCCGGGTTATTCTGCAGGCAAATTTCACACTGTTGGTTCACCTGCCTCACAGTGGTATAGAGATTTCATGCTATTATATTCTGGTTTAGATATTTGTATAGAGCTTCTGCTCCCCAATGTGTTTTCTTGTGTTCCACCATGATAAGGGCCCATAAAATAGAAGAGGGTATTAATAACTTACCCTGCGGTGTCTTGGCCCATTTATTTTCCTCTATTTTTCCTCCTAAATCCTGGATTAACTTTCGGTCTTCTTTAGAGTATCTAGGATTTATATTAGACTGCTGAATTTGAATCTTACCGTCAGGGATCAAAGACTGGATTTTGCTTCCTTCTGCTTTGGTTGCCCTTTTTGCCTCTTGATCAACCATGGCATTTCCTCTTTCATGGTCAACAACGCCCTTTTGGTGAGTTTTGCAATGCATAATAGCAACTTTTTCTGGCAACTGGACTGCTTGTAATAGTTCAAGGATTTCATCTACATATTTAATGGACTTTCCTTGCCCAGATAATAGTCCTCTTTCTTTCCAAATTGCTCTGTGAGCATGAAAGACTCCGAATGCATATTTTGAGTCCGTCCAGATATTTATCCTCTTTCCTTTTGCTAACTGCAGTGCTCCGGTTAGCACTATAATTTCTGCTTTTTGGACTGAGGTATTGACAGGGAGGGCTCTTGCCTCTATTACCTCATTTACAGTGGTTACTACATATCCAGCCTTATGTACACCTTTCTGGACTAAACTGCTTTCTTCTGTGAACCAGGAGTCCTCAGCGCTGAGGTGAAAGCCAATGACCTCCTTTTACTTCTAATACTGATAATACTGTATCAGAGACCATGACTGTAATTTTCTGGCCCAGTGTGAACTTCCATGCTTCTTGTATATTGATTATCACAGCTGTTACTGCCCTTAGGCAGGATTTTCCCATTCAAAAGCGAATAGTGGTTGACTTTCAGGGCTCAAAGGCAGGCAGAAGAAAGCATCCTTCAGATCCAGGACAGTAAATCATTCTAGTTCTGGTGTCAATTTAGTCAGCAGTATATATGGATTCGCCACTACAGGGTGCAAGTCTTCAGTTATCTTATTAATTGCTCTAAGATCTTGCACTATCCTATACTTCCCATCAGGTTTCTTTACTGGCAAGATGGGAGTATTATATTTTGATTCACATTCTTTTAATAACTTTTACTTTGATTGGCAATGCTATTTTTGCTCTCCCTGGAGTTTCTGAAGCCCATATTCCAGGGAATACCTGATTCGCTACCTCTTCAGGTATACTGCCTGAATTTTGGGTCTCTATTAGGGCAAGACTTAAAATTTCAATTAATTGCCTCTTTTATCTTGAATTTTATTTTGCCCTGTTCAAATTTAATCTCAACTCCCAATTGCTCCAGTAAGTCTCTTCCTAGTAAAGAGACTGGTGAGTTTGGCATGTATAAGAATTTGTGGATCACAAATTTTTTTTCAAAAATTGAGCCTTTTCTGTTTGACCCGTGGCTCCCCTTACTGACACAAAACTTACATCAGTGGGTACCAAAGCCTGGTTTAATACAGAAAATGTAGCTTCTGTATCTATTAAAAATTCTACTTCCTGCTTTTGTTCCCCTAGCCTTAGATTCCCCAGGTCTTTATCAATCCTGGTCTATATGTGCTTGTATTGGGGAAGATGCACTCCCTCTTCAATGCCTTTCGAGGCAATCACTTTCACAGACTCCAGTAGTCAAAGAGCGCAAAATGCTGTTAAACTGCTGGGACAGAACATTTACAAATATGACAGAAGAGAAGAAAAACAAATACAATAGTCATGGTACTGTCTAGTGTTCTGACAGTATTATTCAAATTGCAGTCCAATTTTTGTATATGCACCACTGTGATGGTTTTGATCTAGGCCTTCTTGGTAACCAGTTTGTAACTAAGGAAGTGGCCAAATACCCAGTATTCCATACAATTTTTACGTAAATCAGAGTATAAATAAGTTGGAGATTAAAGACCTCTCTCTCTTCTCTTCCAACGAAGGTCGGGAACTGTAGGTCCTTGCGTTGATCTCGCTTATCTAAAGCTGAGGCCTGCAGTGACCTCTGGCCTGCCACGTGGGGGGTTCGGAGAGTGCTGGCTGTGTCTGCCAATCCTACTTTTTCTAAGGGAAGTAGTGAAATCTGTTTTGTTAATTACTAATATAGTTCTTGAGTTTGATCAAGTATACCTGTTCGGTGTCCCTTTTGTTACCTTTTGTCCCTTTTTTTCCCCTTTCCCTATCCCTTCGGGGAGTGGATCCCCTTTTACTGTGTATATAGTATCTTAACTGTATATAACTGTAATTTACGTAAATATATATATATTTTTATATAAGTAGCTTGACTTTGGGTTCTTTAATTTTTTATAGTTTTTTTTTTTTTGTATATGCACCACCTTTGGAGATCATAGGCTGATTTTACCAAAGTTCTCAACCGTGACATATAGGAAACGTGTCCCAGGGATGCTGGGTGAGGCATTCTGGGATTGGTAGTTTCCAATGCTGTACTCTGACACACATGGGCAGAGTGAGCCCACTGTGATTGGTCAGGAGAGTCACGTGTTGCCTGAGGATATATAAGATGGCTGTTTTCTTCTAATAAAATATTTGGTTGTTGGAAATCCTAATTGCCAGGTTGTGTCTTATTTATTATATTACATTAATAAGCCATAAATGGCACCCAAATGCGGGGCATCTCCCTGTATTAGGGAACAATTTAAAATACCTTGAAACAAGGAAACTCGGTAGTGTTCAAACGAGATTGTATCAGTTCTCAGAACGCTTTTACCAAAAAAAAGCAAGACATCTTTAAAAGCGTCGGGACTTGAGTGCAAAACGCGGCTGAAGGACGCAAAAATGAAACCGAGCTGGAAAAAATTGACAGTGCACATACCAGGAGAAAGAAGACAAGGAAGCAGCGGCAAGAAGTCAAACTGCTGACGCAGAGGCAGTAAAAAAGCTGCAAAACTGAAACTAAAAGCCGACAAACCACAAATGAAAGCCAGCAGTGACAGAAAGCACGCGGAAGCAAAGCGGCAAGAAAAAGGTAAAAAAAACATGGGAAATTCGGTCTCCCCAGAGATAGAAAGAGATACAGAGGCTCCATATCTCTTGTTAACACCGTATTCCATAGAGATCACGCGAGCAGAACTAACAGACCTTCTGCAATGGATAAAATCCAAAGCAACCCATCTGTCACTCATAGAAGCCTTAAATATAAACACTTGGGACAGGATTGGAGATTTCATAAAAGACAAAGCTAGAGCAGGTGACATACAAGTAATTGCCTTCCTACCTGGACCCAGATTATGGACGCCTTGTACACTGCACAGAGACGACAAACCCCCCCAGGAAATACCAACACACATTTCCCTGTATCCCCCAACCAGGTTGCCATCCACAACCATTCACCAGAACTCAGAAACACACACGAGGATGCAGGGGCTCCATGCGCGTCCCAGGCAGATTCAAACTCAGGAGGGGAACAGTGCAGGCAGGATCGGGGGGTACACGATATAAGTAATGGTTAAGGTCCCGGTTTTGGTGCACACGTGAGTAGCAGGGAAAGGACAGGAACATCAGTTCGTGAATCCAACACCCAGAGGTGAAACATAGATTTCTGCTGTGACATGTTGGGGGAGGAACCCAGTAAACTTACCCCCTCATACCGCTAACGACTCACGACCGCGTGCTTTGGCACAGACGCAGCCATATTGCACACGAAACAGACCGGAACCTGAGCCATCTCTTCCAGTCATGCAGCCATATCATCCCAACCATGGGCACGGGGAGGGGAGACCTACCTTCCTGGAAAGGCGGTTATCTTCTGCCATGCAGCCGTGGGGAGCCGAATACATCAGGGCCGTGGGTGGCAAGGCATCAGAAGATGATGAGGAGGGACCGGAGATGGCTCTTCCGGGTGAGGACGAGGGGGCAAGCGCAGGGAGGTTTGTTGACCAGTGGAGTAAATGCTGCGAGGAAGCAATAAGGAGGCAGACTAGCAGGTTATTAAAGCATGCCCAGTTATCTATTGGCCGTGCCAGAACCCTCAGTTCCAATTAGTTAAAGAAACTGGTGTTTCCTCGACTCACACATTTTCATATTTGGAAACTCTGAGTTCCACCTATGTATTTACCCCAAATGACTGGAAAACACTGTTGAAAATGGTTTTAACAACCACTCAATACAGTGTTTGGTTAACAGACTATTGGGAGAGCTGTGCAGCATATGTAAATGACCCAGGTAGCTCACAAACAGACATGACATGTAATCATTTGGCAGGAGAAGTGGAGCAAACTCATAAGTAAGCTACCCTGGAGAGATATATGAAGTAATTGCAAAATTGACTTAGAGGGTGATGAGAAAGCTTCCGAGCATGGACAGAGACAGAAACCTGTCATTTACAAAGGTCCTGCAGGGATCAATACAACCTTTTCCCCAGTTTCTCGATCGGCTGCAAGCAGCTTTAAACAGGCAAATAGAGCATGAAGAAGCTAGAGAGATGCTTTTTTGGCAGTTGACATGAAAACTCAAACCTGGATTGTAAGTGGGCTCTGCAAGCTATCCCTAAAAGGGAAAGCTGCACCATCCCTGAGATGGTTCAAGCATGCCAGGGTATCAGATCTATTGAACATCAAACTGCTTCTTTAGCAACTGCCTTAAGCATGCAGTTAAGATTGCAGGATGGGGCAGGAGCCAAAAGTGGCTGCTACAGATGTGGTGCTGATGATCATTTTCAAAAGGATTGCCCCAAGAAACCCTCCACAACAGTATGCAAATGTCAGCATGGGAAGAGGGGGTAAAAAAACTTCACAGCAGGGAAACTGGAGGCGAGGTGCAAGACCGCACACCCTGATTCAACAAATAAATACGACTCAAGAAAACAGATTAGTGATCTGCTCCCTGCCACCTCAGGCAGCACTTGGCTGGACTTGGCCTCCAGAGAACCTGTAACCATAACATCTACTGCTGTAGTATTAATCCCTACAGGAGTATGGGGACCTTTAAGCCCAGGAGTCCATGCCCTTCTAATAGGACAGGCGTCAACTACCAAGATAGGTTTGTTTGTTTTACCTGAAGTGATTAACTCGGACTCCCACAGTGAAATACAAATAATGGCCTGGATTCCAATATCTCCATGTCACATACCTGAAGGACAAAAGCTCACCCAGCTAATTCCCTTTTAGGGCACGTCACTGGCTAGGGAGGGGGAGAGGGGCTCTGGAGCTTTTGGGAGTACAGGCAAGCCACAAATACACTGGGCAAGGGTCATTTCTGCAACACAGCCAAAGATGACATGTCAAATAGATGGACGCAGATTCAGAGGCCTGGTGGACACAGGAGCAGATGTTACAATCATTAGAGACACTGAATGACCAGCTGATTGGCCTACTGTTTATCCTGCTTCAACTATCCAAGGGGTTGGAGGCACACAAAGGCCTAGGCAAAGTGCTAAATTATGCACAGTGCTGGGACTGGAGGGACAAGTTGCCAAAATAGCTCCTTTTGTTGCTCCTATTCCATGCACACTGTGGGGACGAGATGTGCTGGGGCAGTTTGGCACAGTCATGCAAATTGTTTCTGCAGAAGAGCAGAATTTTCAGTGAGGGTCATTGACCAGTTGTTCCAAAGACCAATTAAGCTGAACTGGAAAACCAATGACCCTGTATGGGTTGATCAATGGCCCCTGAAAAAGGAAAAGCTTGCTCACTTAAGAGAATTAGTGAAAGAGGAACTTGATGCAGGACATATAGTGCCAACCTACAGCCCATGGAACACTCCAATGTTCTGCATCCCCAAGAAAAGTGGCAGGTCGACAATGCTGCATGACCTAAGAGCAGTCAACTCAGCAATAGAACCTATGGGGGCATTGCAACCAGGGCTTCCTTCACCTGCTATGCTTCCAACAGGATGGCCGTTAGTGGTAATTGATTTGAAAGACTGTCCTGAGCAATCATTTACCACTACATGGACTATGGCCAATGAAACTGAGTTGCAAACTGTTGTTACTACTCTAACTAATGCTGTCCAAGAAGTAGGGTTGCAGGTTGCTCCAGAGAAGATCCAGCAATCACAGCCCTGGACCTACCTTGGATGGAGGATCACGCAGCAGGAGATCTCGCCACAGCCACTTCAGATTAAGGTAAAGGACACCTTAACTTTAAATGAACTGCAGAAACTTTTAGGAGCTCTCAACTAGTTAAGGTTTTTTTTAGGCTTAACCACAGAGGAGCTGCACCCCCTGTTTGAACTGCTGAAAGGCAACCCAGACTTGACATCTAGTCAGTCTCTGACTGCAGAGGCAAAGCAGGCACTAGAGGTATGTTCTAAGGCAATCGAGAGCAGACAAAGCAGGAGGAGAAATCCTGAACTTCAAATCTGCCTTGCTTTTTTTCCTAGCAGGTTCCAGCCATTTGCAGTTTTGTTTCAGTGGGACCAAACTGAACAGGATCCACTGAGGGTCCTAGAGTGGCTGTTTCTGCCCCATTCACCACCTAAAACTGTGTGGACAACTAATGAAATGTTTGTCAAGCTTGTCATTAAAGGCAGAGGATGTTTACAGGAGCTGGATAGACAGGATCCTGCGATCATCTATATCCCAGCGAATAAGGACAGCCTCCACTGGCTCCTGGCTGAAGATGCTGGATTTCAAGCTACCTTGGTAGACTATGACGGTGACATTTCTATTCATTACCCTAAACACAAACTGTGGTCAGAAATGCATAACTTACCCTTAAAAGCCACAACCAGATACCAACACCAGCCAGTAAAAGGCCTCATGGTTTTTACTGATGCATCAGGATGGTCCAAGAAAACTGTGGTGACATGGGTAAACCCTGCTACAGGACTGTGGGAACAAGAGGTACAGATCATTAACCATGGTTCTGTACAGGTTCTAGAATTAGCAGCTATTCGTATTGCCTTGGAACTGTTTTCAGAACAACCTGTTAATATTGTTACGGACTCTCGTTATGCTTGCAGGTTTGGTTTCACATCTGGAGGCTTCATTCCTTTGAGATGTTGCAAACCCACATTTACTTGTTGAAATACGTGCTGTATGGGTTCTTGTCAATCACAGGAAGTTTGACTTTTACATCATACATGTTAGATAACACACGGGAATGCCAGGACCCGTAGCAGAAGGGAACCAAAGGGCTGATGTAGCAGCTATGTTTACAACGGTGCCCAGAATATTAGAACAAGCTAAATTATCTCACTCTTTTTTCCACCAGAACGTACATTCTTTGAAGAAACAATTTCAAATTACCAACAATCAGACTCGAGACATAGTTACGTTGTGTCCAGACTGCCAGCAAATAACTCCAATGCCATCCCAGGAAGGAGTTAACCCCCAGGGACTGATAGCAAATGAGGTATGGCAGACAGATGTTACACATATACTGGAGTTTTGTCAGCTGAAATACGTACATGTCACAGTTGACACACACTCCAAGTATATAACTGCCACTGCACACACTGGGGAAAAAGCAAGAGATGTAATAAGGCACTGGCTTAGCTGTTTTGCAATGCTAGAGACTCCAAAAAAGATTAAAACTGATAATGGCCCAGCATACACTTTAGCAAAGGTAAAAACCTTCCTGACAGACTGGGGGATCTCTCACTCCACAGGCATCCCACATTTACCTACAGGACAAACCATAGCAGAGAGGGTACACCATACCTTAAAGGACATGTTAAAAAAACAAAGAAAAGGGGAGTCCATCTGTAGCCCACAGGAGCATCTGTGGAAAGCAACATATGTCATAAATTTTTTAAATTGTGACAGTGTTGAGAAAAGCAGGTATGAGAGACAACACAGACCTCAGGCATTCTCCTAACTCAAACCACCGGTCATGATAAGATATTTAATCTCAGGGCAATGGATGGGACCAGTGGACCTTGTGACATGGGGGAGAGGTTATGCATGTGTATCTACAGGTAAAGAACTGAAATGGATTCCCTCTAGGTGTGTCAGACCATACATAGGTACATTCACAGCAGCAGCAAGAACCAGAGCAATGCAGAGAGCAGAAACTGCAGAGAAACACAGTTATGTTTACCACTTCATATTTACTACTGAAAATGACCAATGTGGTAAAATACAGAGTTTTGCTAAAAACCATGGGTGTATATGTGAAGAATGAATGTCGCGGCCGCCGGTGTGTGTGCGAATGAATGAGAGTCATGTAAGTGTATAAAGCCCTTTAAACACGAAGCCTTACAAAGGTACCATTACCTCAACCACAGTCACACTAGAAGAGTTCAGTTTATGACATTTACCCTGTTGTTGAAATAAAATTGAGTTTTCCCTGTTCTACATAAACCCTGAGATAAATAAATGTTTCCAGTTGCATAAGTACTACCCACTTAGGCCCAAAACCCCCAGATCAATAAAGTTGTTTATCCCAGTTACACTATACCCCTTAGGAAAATAAAGGTTCAAGCTTATATTAAACAAGTTCAAAAGGTTAAAGAGAACATTTCCAATAAATAAGTTTGTTAAAGAACCAAAGTAAGCAGTGAACTGGGTCACTGTGATACTATGGTAATTGCTAAAGGTTTACAAAGTTTAAAGATGTACTGTTCTGTTATTTGCACTGTTCTGTGATTTGCCTTAAATATTTAAATCGGGGGAGATGTAGGAAATGTGTCCCAGGGATGCTGGGTGAGGCATTCTGGGATTGGTAGTTTCCAATGTTGTACTCTGACACATATGGGCAGAGTGAGTCCCATTGTGATTGGTCAGGAGAGTCACGTGTTGCCCAAAGGTATCTAAGAGGGCTGTTTTCTTCTAATAAAAGATTTGGTTGTTGGAAATCCTAACTGCCGGGTCGTGTCTTATTATAGTATGTTAATAAGCCATAGTGACGGGAACTTTTCTTTATTGGTCTTTCTTATTTACTTACTCCTGACTTATTTCAGGAATTCTTATTACAGTCCAAAACCTCTTGTCTTGGTGTATCCCACTTGCAGCTGTTAAGGCATTCGTTCACTTCTGCACAAAAGTTGTTTCCATCCATACCACTTTCAGTCTGAGTTCTGGTGGCACAGTTCCCAGATCTGTCTGTTGAAATAGACTTTCTGCAAACAGTTAACTTCTGATACATTGTTAGTTCACACTG